AGAGAGAGAGAGAGGAGTGAGAATATGTGGAGACACCACAGGCAGTGAAGAAGGGGAAGATGATTAGGAAGAATTCTTCACGTAAAGAGTGGTCAGACACTGGAATAGACTGCCTAGGGAGGTAGTTGAGTCGCCATCCCTGGATGTGTTTCATGTGTTGCTTAGATGCGGTGTTGGGTGATATAGTTTAGGGGTGAACTTGTAGTGTAGGATCAATGGTTGGACTCGATGATCCCAAGGGTCTTTTCCAACATGAATTATTCTATGATTCTATGATGTGCTCCAGGTGCTGGAGCAGAGTCCCCTGGGTCATGGTGAAGCCCATGGTGAGGGAGGCTGTCCTCCTGCAGCCCAGGGGCGTGACAGGGTGTAGATGTCCACCCGTAGCCCGTGGAGGACCCCACGCTGGAGCGGGTGGATACCTGAAGGGGGCTGTGACCCTGTGGGAAGCCTGCGCTGGAGCAGGTTAGCTGGTAGGACTTTCATGACACCACAGGGGACTTACGGTGGATCAGGCTCCCCTGAAGGACTGCACTCCAGTAAGAGAGACTCATGTTGGGGCAGTTTGTCAAGAACTGTCTCTCATGAGAGGACTCACATTGGAGGAACTGTCTCCTGTGAGAGGGACGCCACAATGGTCCAGGGGAGGAGTGAGAAGTCCTCCCTCGGAGGAAGAAGGAGCAGTGGAACTAACATCAGATGAATCAACTGAAACCTCCATTCCCTGTCCCCCTCAACCGCTTGGGAGGAGGAGGGGGGTAAGGTGGGAGTGATGTTAAGCCGAGGAAGAAGGGAGAAGTGGGGGGAAGTTGTTATTATGTTAAGATTTGCTTTTATTTCTCATTACTTGTCTCTGATTGATTGTTAATAAATTTAATCAATTTCCCCAAACTGACTCTGTTTTGTCCAGGACAGTAAATGCAGGTGATCTCCCTGTCCTCATCTCAAACCATCGACCATTCATTCTATTTTCTCCCTCCTGTCTAGTCAAGAAGGGAGAGTGATAGAGCAGCTGTGTGGGCACCTTGGCCATTGACCAGGGTCAAACCACTACATCCTAGCACAAATACACAAGGTAAAATAGAGTCTAACAGAAGCATGGTTTTTTAACAGGCAGTAGAATGGGATGGTAACATTTTGCCTGTACTGAACATTGTTTTCCTTAAATAAGAATAGCAATAGCCATAATTTCACTTTTTCAATTACAAAACAAGGTTTGCAATAGTAGGGCCACTGCACTGTAGCTTACAGGTTGGACTAGATGATCTATAAAGGTCTCTTCCAAACCAAACAATTCTATGACTTTTATGTAGCTAACAGAACTGTTCTTTCCTTTGCTTGTGAAGAGTAATATCCAAAAAGTCCAGAAAGCTTGCCCTCCTACAGATCCAACAGAGCCACATCATGCAGCATCCACAGCCATCGTGCTGCAAAGATTGTAAAACACTCAAATTCCTATGTATTTTTTCCCAGCTTGGTTAGGAATGAATTTAGTTATTTTTGCTTTTTTATTTAAAGGTTTGGGTTTTTTTCCAGCAGTTCAATGGTTTAGGCTCCTACAGAAGTTCTTGGCAGTTAGGTATTTATATGGATGGGATGGGCTACATCTAGCATTATTTAAGAGCTCAAGACATACGAGGGAAATATGAGAAAAAGAATCAGCAAAATAAAGGACCATTTAAAACACGCAACAAGTTGCAGATCTCTGTATCAGCAACAGATTAAGTAGTAGCTTTTATGTTCAATTAAAGTTATTTTTCATAAAGAGAAAGTTCTTATATTGAGTAAATTTATTATTTTAAAACCTGTGCCGTCTAAAGCTGCAACCTTCTCAAGCCTAAACAACTGACTACATAAAGCCCACAGAATTGTAAAGCAGCAGATCAGGTAGAGATGAAAAAACAATCCCAGACTACAGTTTAGTTCAAGGTTTACTCTCAGGATTGGATGCATTACAGGTAATCTGTAAACACAACCGAGAGCTTAAGGCATTTACTCCTACGAAGAGACCTTAAACCTTTGCAAGCTCTTCCCAGCCCTCCAAGATTTCTCTCTAAACCCTTCCAACAGCTCTAATCAGTCAGAAGCATTCTTTTATAAAAAGTCTTCAGGTAGCAACCACGTCACTATTTCAGGTGACCCACCGTCACTGTATTTCCCCTTGAAAATAAAGGTGAAGACAAGTTCTTGACATCTTTACAGAAAAGATACACACTTGTTCTGGGAAAGAAACCTAGCTGTGGCTACATCGATGAACCAACAGACCAAACAGAAGTGTTACCTCTCTAACAATACTTACGTTGCAATAATATTGAAGTTTCCTCAGTTTCAATTTATAACTTCATAATTTAAATGTATACCTTTATAATTTTTAAAAAATCCTGTTTCAAATAAAATAGCTTCAGATATCTGCTATATTTTTACATTTAAAAACATCAGAAACACTCACCCCATACACCTGCAGCTAAAGATTTATTCTGGTTTGGTTCCCTCTCATACTGAGGGTTCAAAGACGGCTGAAAGAAAAGTTTTACCATTATTTTGAAAGCAAGTATTGAACTCTGGAAGCAATAAAATACAGAATCACAATAATATTGGTAGTATAATCTCTGCTGTCAAAGGGTTTTTAAATGGAGACAGACTAGACACTTCCGCCCTGTGATACAAATAGGTCAATGCTCGCTTGTTTCTCTTCTCCAACAAAACATGTCAGGCAGCAGTCAATACCACTACATGAACCGTACAGCAAAGGACAGCAATGTACGATTTTTTAAAGAGGAAGCTCACCTCTCCTCTTACATCCTACAATTCTATATTGAAGCATGGGATCTCAAAGGGCCATTGGTAGAAAAATCGCGTTGTTAGTACTTTAGATTTCCAGTAACATAACTGTAATATTGAATATATACACACAGTAAACTGGAACTCTATTGTAGTTTCACTTAAAGACTTGAAGCACAAAAACATATAATTACAAAAACTAGATAAAAAAGGAGAAGCAAGTTAGTGGACTAATTACTAACACCGTCTTACCTATGGGAAGAGTGATCCCTTATATGATGATCTGAAACAGGTGGAATCTCAAGAAATAGCTTGTAATAGACAAAACAGCACTGGGGAGAAACAGTGAAACCTTTTTTTATTATATCACAATTAACTTACAAAATCCTCAGCCTTGAAGTGTCTGGATACTTCTTTGTCTTCCCGTCTCACAGTTTCATTATCAGGTACGTTGTTTTCACGCAGTCCTTGGCCTCTTCCACAGTGGAAAGTGCTTGCACGAGCACGGGAACCTCTGCCATAGAATCCCCCACGGTGGTTCATACTTTCTGGGTAACTTCTGCCTTGTGAACGCCAACCATTCTTCTCTTTTCTCCCAAAATACCCTTAGATTTTTAAGTATTACAGAAATGTAATTACAAAGATTTTTAAAAGAATATCATTCTTCTGCAAAATTCTTCAAGAAGTTAAATCAGTAGCTCTTTACTCTGGGATGTGATAGCATAGTAAACTGAAGTTCTCATTCACATAAGCAGCAGGGAAGAATCTTACAAAACACTGCCAGAGAAAGAGGACAGTTATCCAATATAAAGACAAGTCAACCTCCTTTGCGGACTACTCATTTATATGTTTTTGGCTACAATATTAATTTAACACTTTTCTTCTTCTTTAGAGAACTGCACCTAGAATCACAATATTTTAACTAATCCTTAGTCATCATATCCTCTCTCAGAAAATCTGTCTTTCTATTACCTCTGTTTTAGTAAAGAATTAGAATTTAGCATATGAAAGCCATAATCAGACTTTTTTTCTAACTAGAATTCTACAAAGCAATGACATAAATATATTGAAAATGCTCCACAAAAGCTAGAACACACCTCCATTAAACCGTCCAATGTTAGGATCAAACCCATCTGAGGAGTTGTATCTTCTGCGATTTGCTTCATAACGATTCTCTGTCCACAAAAAATTTTCTGGATTCCTATCGAAGTTCCGTGATGACTGCAAAGGAGCACAAATGGTAAACCTGAGGTATCTGATTAATAACAACACTGAATTATCAGAACTGTAACATGCACATTACCCATGGTAAATACAGTTTTCAAAGGACTTTGAATGGCAGACAACGCAGCACCCCTCAAGTACACATACTTTCAGAGCTATGTCACCATTCCCCATGCTAGCAAAGTGGAAGCTCTCATCTTTTACCTCAGGACACCAACACAATGGTGAAGACCATGTTTGTGACACTGAGTAAAATACTGTCAATGGTTCGGGCTGGGCCAGCCACTAACTAATGACAGATGGGTCTCTAACCCCTCTCCCTCCCCAAAGGGGAAAAGAAGAGAGAGTAATGCAGAGAGACTAACAGGCTAAAACAGTTTTAATGAAACATAATATAACTAATAGGGAAATAATGAAAATAATGAAATATCTAGAAATAAATTAAAACCATGAAATATACACAAACGTATACAAAACCAGTATCAAACTCAACTCCCTCCACCCCATCGCTGACAGCAATCTCCACTGATGCTGCAGAGAAGGCAGCACTGCGGAAGTCCCAGGCTCAGAAGCAGAGGGGAACCAGATGACAGAGCTAGATTCGGGAACTCACAGATTGGAATCTGGACCAGCAGAACAGACAAAAACCTCCTTGCGTGCCGGCTGTTGCAGAACAGGGCTTAACCCTCGTGATCACTCAGATTTATACTCAATGCGACGTATATGGAATGGAATACTTTGTTGGTCAGTTTTGGGTCACTACTTGTCCTGTCCACTCCTCTCCAGAGGTGCAGCCTTTTTACTTCCTTCCGACCCTTTTACTTCCCAGCACCCACAATGTGGCACACAAGATTTATCAGTTACCTTGGCTACTGTAGAAGCAAGTATAGGCAAGAGCTTTTCTGCATCCCAGTCCCTGGTAGTAACTATAAACATCAGGTGTTACCACTTCTAGAAGCACACACTGTCTGCAAAAACATGCTGTTGACTTCAGAAGGTGCAGCCTCTGACAAGAGACTGAGCTGAAAAGTAAACTCACTGAACAGAGTTGCTTCTGTCTAGCTCAAACCGGGACAAAAACACAAACGTCTGTGTGTTTTGACAGTAGAAGAGAGCACAAGTTGCATGTGGTGCAGCAGAGGAAAAATAAAAAGTGGTAAGAAAGGACAGGAGGTCACAGTTTGGAAGGCAGGAAACAAGTCCAGGATCTTACTTTGGTGGTCAGAGACTACACATATGCATTCTAGAGAAAACAAGGAGCTGCTTCCACCAGAGGCAGCTACACCCAAAAAGTCCCAGCTTATTAGTCCTGTAATAGTAATTTAATAAGGCAAAAACAAGTAGTTATGAAATACAAATAAAATCTACAGTCAAATTGCAGAGATTCACAAATATACATCAAATGATCAGCTAATAGGTAGACACTCTATAGATTTTAAAGAAATAAACAGTTGATACATGTGTAGGCAGTACTTAATAAACTAAAACCTCATCTTGAGAACAGCGCTCAGAAATCAAAATGTCTGCTGACTACAACTTATACCTAAGGGAATAAATAACATTTAAAAAAAGATCATGTCTTACAGCAGCTGCCTTCCAAATTGCTTCTACCTGGCTTTAATATTTTAACATCATAACATTTCTTTCACGGTTACATCTTAAAAATTCAAGAATAAATTTTCATTTCGCAAAAGTAGTGCTTCACCCTACTGTTGTTCACGCCACACATCTCTTGGAGAAGAACAGCAAAGGGCTGTGCTACTCAGCACCACTTCCCTGCCACACAGCCAGCTTTCGATGCAAATGAAGCAAAAGCCTCTTCACCCTGCAGTATGCATAGATGTTGACTGTATTGCACAGGTACCAGAGGTCCAGTGTGTCCCAGGGCCATAAGAGGTTCAAATGCATAAATGCACAGCTGTATGGAAAAGTACTGTGCTAGCAAACTAAGCTTAATGATCTTCCAGTGAGTAACAACTTTACTGCACCCAAACTATCAACTTCGCTGCCTGAAGCTCACTCCCTCTCCAGGATGGATGAACATTCAAGAAGAAAAAGGTACAGTAAATCGTGTATGTCTGAAAATGAAAGCAATAAGTCTATTTCAGTAGTCATTATTCACTAATGTCTGTATAAGATATACTAATATTTAAAGTACTCCACTGATCAAAGTGAGCAGGGAAAAAGAATAAGGAAATCAAACTAACAGGTTTAACTACTTTGGAAAACATGTTGAAGAAAATTATTTCCTTCTTACCTTCCCTGCAACAGACAATCACGCGCCAAAACTTACACCAAAGTTCTATTGATAACATCAGGTTTTTCTAAATGCTAGCAAAGCTCAAGATGCTGTTCAAAATGCACTGCTTAAAATTCAAACTCAGGTAAGCAACATATACACTTAAAATATAAAGCATGTATATCCACTCCATAGAGAAGTCAAATGAAAAGGGATTGCCCTCTCAATTTGAGGCCTGAGGAGTGAATTACTTCCTTGGCAAACTTGGAGAATAAGCTGCCAAAAAAATCAGAAAGCTCCAGATCTGTTAATCATAAATGAAATTCTAGAAGATAGCCTCATGTGTCCACTTACATACAGCAACTTTCTCACGCTGCCTCTGGAGTTTAACTTTCATTTTTCTGTACAAATTTTAAAGAACAATCACATTTTCACAAAGTATGACTGACAGTTTTTACGTGTTTGAGTGACACATATTATGAATGTGTGCCAAGATCATGCAGTTTGCATTTTCCCCACCTGATGGCGCTATCAGCCTATCAACTCATTTGCAGCAAAGTAAACTTTGTAATCGATGGGAAATCTATTGGCAGTTTCTGAGAGTTGAGAAGTTAACTAGATTCAGCCAGCCAAGAAAACAAGCCACATGTCATTTTAGGTATAGGAAGTCTTGCTGCTTAACATGAAGTAAAAGCAAATTTGCAAAAACTGAGTTTAACAGTTTGTCTGTAACTGCCTCATACACATTTTACAGCAATCCTTTCTGATAAGTTTCATCCATATCCAAAGATGGCTTCACTATCTTCCCATTTCCGCCTACCCAACTGCAATATTGCACTGATGCAACTGTAGTAGCTACAGCCCTGCACAAAGGCTACGGAGCAATGGATACCCAGCTATTTAGGTAGACTTTGCTATGTAAGTGACAGGGAGATGATATAAAATCTTAAGAGGAAATCATCAGCAACAGGTGACATGTATTTCAGTCAAGTTGTAATCTGTGTCAGTCACATTAAGAACGCTTATTCACAACTCCAGCTTCTTCACATCAGGTTTTTCTAAATGCTAGCCTTTACTTATAGAACAAAAAGCCTCAAGGACCAGGATTGAGGAGGGGAACCAAGCTCCTAAAGACTGAATTCCTAGAAGTACCTGTTTAGGGAATTAAAAGACTAACTGGGCACTGCTTGAGTTTCTCCTTCTCACATGTAAATGCTCTTGATACCATAGCCTCACCCCAGCTCCATTCTGGATGAAACATGAGACACCCTGCCTTCCTCAGCTCCATCCTTCATCTCTATCCCTCTCATCTGCTCTTCTCTTCAGCTGCTTTGGTGATAGATGGAAGCAGAAATAAAAGGGGGACAGAGGGCCGCAACATTTGAGACCTGTCTTGTAGAGGACTGAAAGAACAAGCCTTATTCTGTAAACTAAGAATTAGTGTATATCAGGTAGGAACAGAAAAAACTTTGCAAGTGTTTAATATTTAAATATATTCTCTGTTCCAGAACACTGATCACAGAATTGCATAGATTGGGAAAGACCTGTAAGATCGAGTCCAACCATTAATCTAACACTGAAAAGTTCTCAAATAAACCACGTTCCTAAGCACTATGTCTACACATCTTTTGAACACCTCCAGGGACGGCAAATCCACCACATCCCAGGCAACCTGTTCCAATGCCTCATAACCCTTTCAGTAGAGAAATTCTTCCCTATATTGGATCTAAACTTCCCTTGGTGCAACCTGAAGCCATTTCCTCTTGTCCTATCACTTGTTACTTGGATGAACAGACCAATCCCCAGCTCTCTACAATCTCCTTTAAGGTAGCTATAGAGAGCGATAACGTCTCCCCTCAGACTCCTCCAAGCTAAAGAGCCCCAGTTCCCTCAGCTGCTCCTCAAAAAATTTGTTCTCTAGACCCCTCACCAGCTTTGTCACCCTTCTCTGGACATGCTCCAGCACCTCCATGTTCTTCCTGTAGTGAGGGGCCCAAAACTGAACAGAGTACTTGAGAGGGGGCCGGTTAGCTCAGTCAGTTGAGCGCGGCGCTAACAACGCTAAGGTCACGGCTTCGATTCCCGTTCAGTCCCCATGTGTTGCCTGATCTAGTCGAGAGGTGGCGTCCCTGGCGGCAGGGAGGCTGGATTAAAATGATCTCTAAGGTCCCTTCCAGCTTAGGCCATTCCATGATTCTGTGTGGCCTCACCAAAATCAAGTACGGGGGACATTTTTACTGTGATTGAGGTTATGACATTTAGACTTTTCTAATAACGAGATTGCTGTTCAAAAGAACATGCCTTTGTTAGGGGGACATTTTTACTGTGATTGAGGTCATGACATTTAGACTTTTCTAATAATGAGATTGCTGTTCAAAAGAACATGCCTTTGTTGATGACGGTGGAGTAGGAAAATTAAGCCAGGCTGGAGCAAAGTCATGCTGCGCCATTTAGGTCCAGTCTTTCCAGATCAATGAAATAAGGCTTCAACACCTCATGGCAAGTCCCTGTAAGTGGAAAAACAGGAAATTAATACTTTTCAAATGCCTATGTTACAAGAGGAATACACTTGCAGTGTTTTGACCATTATTTCCCTTCTGTTTTCTGGTATTAACTTCTCACACAGATCTGATGTAGAATCTAACTAACCACATCTCATTTATTGCATCACATTTGTGCTTTTATTACCAAAGTGTCAGCTAATCAAATATATCAAAGGCATTACAAAAATACAATTGTAATATTCCTTTCTTTATTTCATCTTATAAATGGTCTGATCCAGAAAGCTGTGGTAAAATTAGCTTCACGAAATATCTTCTGGTACATTAACTTCCTAAGAAGCACCTGACTTACGGACTTAGCCTGTAAAAGTTAAGTCTCAGAGGCCGTATTAAGGTTCCTTACGAAAAAAATAGATGTTTAGTATCACCAAACACCCCTATTATCTCTAGATTCAATGAAAACAGAGCTGACACGTCCAGGAACAGTGTCAAAATCCAGTGGAATGGGCAAGAGAAAATAATGGCTTAAGATGAAAACCTAAGAATAATTGTTCCACCCCATGCTCTCACCACAGGAAGGAAAGCATCTCTCAAGAAGCACGAGAACACAAGATAACATGAACTATATTACCTGAAGCTCAACTGTGGCAAAAAGGAAAGAAATGGATGCAACACTGCCTGAATTGTAAGGGTATCTGGATCATGCTCTGCAGCTATTATATTGCTATTGCAAAACTGTCAATGATTCAAAAATATTTTAAGTATGATATAAACACTATCAGAAATTCAGTTAGTGAAAACATAATAAACATCCACATACATTTCATCAGAAGACCCAAGCAAACACGTATTCTTCATCTTTGCACAACAGACTGAGGATATGTTAGCGAGCACTGACATAATTCACTGTAATTCTGCTGTAATGTGGGCAAGTATTAGCAAGTGCTGTGGAATCTGAACTTGATAACTGAAAATTATTGTTTTATTATGGCCTGAACTGGACTACTGCAGACTTCCAGTGACAGATGAGCATGGTCCAGCTTCCAAAGGATGTCTTAAGAGATTTACAAGCTTTGAACTACACTTAGCTGATATTTCAGGGGGTTTTTTATGCTATGAGCTCATACTTAGGTTTTTAGGTACCTCTGACATCAGTTTTAAACTGTAAGGAAAGACGCACCAAACCTCCTATCTTTAAAACAGCGATAACTTTAAAGGTATGTCTTCACCCAAACAACTTGTTATAAATTATTCTGCTGAAGTCATACAACGCTCTCTTCTAAATTAGCCTCCACAGAGAAATATCCTGCAGAATCCACTGATGTCAGACAAGTAAAACACAAATGAAGTTCTAGAGTCATTGAATCATCACAGAAATTACTTCTGTCTCCAAGAGGAACCAAGTTCACTTTTACTGATTGTGGGAATAGCCCCAGCTCCCTCAGCAGCTCCTCCTAAGATTTGTTCTCTAGACCCCTCTCCAGCTTTGTTACCCTTCTCTGGACCCACTCTAGCATCTCAATGTCTTTCTTATACTGTGGCACCCAAAACTGAGCACAGTACTCAAGCTGCGGCCTCACCAGTGTCAAGTACAGGGGGACAACCACTTCCTTACTCTCCTGCTTACCACTCCTGACACAGGCCAGGATGTTCTTGGCCTTTTTTGGCCACCTGGGCACACTGCTGGGTCATATTCAGCCGGCTGTCCATCAACACCCCCGGGGGGTTTTCCATCAGGCAGCTCTACAGCCACTCCTCCCCAAGCCTGCAGCATTGCTGGGGGTTGTTGTGACCCAAGTGCAGGACCCGACACTTGGCCTTGTTAAACCTCATACAACTGGCCTTGGCCCACTGATCCAGCCTGTCCAGATCCCTCTGTAGAGCCTTCCTGCTCTCCAGCACACTAACACTCCCACTCAATTTGGTGTCTTTTGCAAATTTACTGATGGTGCACTCAATCCCCTCATATTAAACAACATATTAAACAAGACTGGCCCCATCACTGAAGCCTGAGGAACACCACCTCAGCTCCCTGTTCAGTCAGGCCGATCATCTTAAGATACATGGGGACGGTCCCCTCCTGCGCCTATAAAGCTTCCTTCTTGAAGAATTTCCAGCCTTCCTTTGCCCTTTGGGACTGCATCCCAAGAGATTCTCTGAACCAGTGTCCTCAAAAGGCCAAAATTTGCCCTGCAGAAGTCCATGGTAGCGGTTCTGTGATCCCCGCCTCCTTACTTCACCCAGAATCAAAAACTCTATCCTGTTGTGGTCACTAAGCCCAAGTCAGCCTCCAACCACAACACCACCCACTAGCCCTTCCCTGTTTGTGAACAGCAGGTCCAGTTAAGCACCTCCCCTGGCAGTCTCACTTACTAGCTGTGTCTGGAAGTTATCTTTCACACACTCCAAGAACCTCCCAGATTGTCTCCTCTCTGCTGTGTTGTCTTTCCAGCAGATGTCCAGTAAGTTGAAGTCTCCCACAAGAACAAGGGCTGCCAATTTTGAGACTTTTGCCCGCTGCTTGTAGAATGCTTCACTGACCTCTTAATCCTGGTTGGGTGGTCTATAACAGACTCTCAACAAGGTATCTGCCTTGGCCCTCCCCGTCATCTTTACCCATAAGCACTCAACCTTACTGTTACAGTCGTTGAGCTCTACACCATCAAAATACACCCTAACATACAGAGCTATCCCACCACTTGTCCTTCGCTGCCTATCCCTTCTGGAAAGCTTATAGCCATGTTTACAGAAGAACGAATACAAGAGATGTTAAATCAAGAAACAGTAAAATACATCTGAGCACACTGCAGCAAGAAAAAAAAATTCTCCTTTCCTCAGATACAGTTCTCATCTCCAAGCAGGAGAATCAAAAACTCTTTAGAAAGGATCAATACGGGTATCAATACTGGAAAAGCAGCATAAGAAAAAAACCTTCTGATGAAGTTACAGTGGGGGGGGGAGGGGGAGGAGATACTAGTCTTACACCAAATATGAACATAATAAAGGATTCAAGAAGTATCATAAAGTGATTGGTAAACTGGCTATTAGGTATGTGACAAAGGCACAAAATCACAATGTGATTTCTTATCCCAAAACTTGGACCACAACTACACACTACTTTGAGTACAAAGTCAGAAGGAGAACATATGTAAATTACAATAAGCCCATAAAAGAAAAACTCTATTAGGCCTAATTCTTTCAGCTAGATTTTATAAAAGAATAGCAGTAACAAAAGCACAGACATATTTTTAGAACACTACTTCAACAGTTTCACAGGTTTACAGTTAAAGACCACCGGGAAAAGCAAGATACTGACCTCCACATCACCCAAGTCAAGAAAACACTTTCATTCATCTGATTCTATGTGTTATCAGTCTAGCAACTAGACATGAGAAAACTAAGTGTTTTCAATACTAAATCTTACTAACAGGCACAAACACCCTAGCCATAATTAAACTGGGAAACAAATGTCTGATCAGGAAAGGACAAAAAGTAACCTTTTTTATTTATTTTTTTAAACTATAGTTCCAGCACGTAGCTTATCCAGCTTTAAGTTGCCAATGTCATGTTTCACCAGGCTTCAAAAATACTCTTACATATGCTACCTTTCTGACATTGCCAACAAGTTTGTCCTAAAATGTATTTTAACACAAAATCATTTTCATTACAAGCATGAGCTCTGTTTTGATGCTCCAGCAAATATTCAGTTGCTCCAGGAAACTTCATCGTAGGGAAGATATTTATGGTAGATTGAAAACAGATGAAAAAAAGTGAGAATTGGATGTCAGCAAGACCACTCTGCTGCCACAGGCAGAATCTACTATGCCTAAATCCTCTGTGATCACCTTAGTCGCCAAACACAAGTTCTTGGCTTGTTTTCCAACTCAAGTTGGACCAACAACTGAGACTACTACATTATTTTGCAACATATCCCGTCACTAAAAAGGTTCCTTCTACCTGGTCTGCCCCAAGTCTTTTTCCCTTCTCTTCAGGTCCATTACCTAAGCTATCCCCAGCAGTGGGAGATGTTTCTGCATTCTGTGTCCTCCAAAGCACTTGCAAACTCATATTCAGATTCATACTATCTACAAATTTAATAAATGTACACTATTTCATGATTATTACTAAAAATAATGAAGAGACTTCTTTAGAAATTTACTTGATATATCCTTTCAGCTCAACATCAAACAAGAGTTGTTTCTGCTAACACTGAGGAGGCACTAAGGAAAACAGGTAATATTGATCCATAACTTACTTTAGAAGAACACTTCTGCCTTTAAGAAACATGGAATTATTTCTAAATTAAAAAAAAAAAGAAGAAAAAGTATTTGAATAGTCTGAAAGTGATGAAGAACCCATATGTCTGTTAGCAAGTCCTCTTGCATACACACCACACAACAGATCAACCGCTGTTAACACTGATAAGACACCTAGCTGTTGCACTCCCAGAACTACTACAGCTATCAGAAATAAACTTACTGAGGAAAACACCACAGATCTGAGCACGATCTGGGAACAAGAAAGGAGGCCCAAAACTTATCACTGAATGTGCAAGTCACCATTCCCTAGCAGCACAAACTCAAAATATATATGCCATTCTTTAATCAAAGTGTCATAAAAGCTAACTTGGCTCAGGCTGTCTATTACTGAAGCAGAACTGCACAATTCTAGAAAGGTAAGAAAGAGTTACTGAAATACTGTTATCCTCATACTATTAACACTCAAATGCATTTAAACTTCTTTAATCACACTCATCAAAATATTCAGTCTTATCTCAGCAATAGCCTCTGGCATATGATTTAAGGATTTCATGGTGACTTCAGAAAATAAAAGTCTTCCACAATCCACAAATTTAGATAAATTTTATGTTTTGCTGTGTGGAGGATAGCAGAATAGTTTACAGCTAAGAAAAAACCCTGTTCTTAAATTTGACTTCTTGTCGAGGATCT